TTCCTTAAACAGGAAGCTGTCCTTATCCTCTACCACAAGGCATTCAAAATATGAAACAAATTAGGTCTGCAGCATGGTATAGCCTTAAAAATCATCAGGAATGGGAAGTTTGTCAAGTTAACTGCATTCTATACAAATTAAAATTTCTTAATAATGTGTATTCTCTAAATAAGGAAGTAGTTGATTTGGGGCATGTGTTGCCAGCATTTCTGATCAGGGTACAGAGTATGTATTTCCAGACTGCTGCAGATCCATAAAGAACTTCATAGGGCAGAACAGAAATAGAAATCTTGTTTTCCAGTTGTTCTGTTTTTCCATGTCTGTGTTCCCAACTGAGTGCAAAGACTGCTGAAATACATGGATTTGGAAGCTTCTTACGAGCAGCGAGAGCCAGATGAATATTTTTCCTTGTGCTAGCAACTAGCTGAGCAGGATTTGATTGCAGGCTCCAGGGTCCCTGCTGTTATGCCCAAAAATTTAGTTTGTCACGAAACTGAATTGTTTACCCCCCTCCCCCCAAAAAAGCAGGGGTAAATACACTATTTTGTTCAGGTCCATTACCTTTAGGATCATCCTGGTTTATTTTATGTTTCTTTTGTGGAAACTTGCATGGCAGGGAAGAATTCACTACAACAGCATTCTAAAGCAGTGTGGCTTGCGGTACAGATGTCCCTAAATAAACATGTGAGAATTAGGTTGTTTTAAGTAGAGTGATTATGAAAGGGGTATTTGCATTACCAGAAAATCTAGGACTTTATGAAAGATTTCAATAATAGATTTCCTTAAACAGGAAGCTGTCCTTATCCTCTACCACAAGGCATTCAAAATATGAAACAAATTAGGTCTGCAGCATGGTATAGCCTTAAAAATCATCAGGAATGGGAAGTTTGTCAAGTTAACTGCATTCTATACAAATTAAAATTTCTTAATAATGTGTATTCTCTAAATAAGGAAGTAGTTGATTTGGGGCATGTGTTGCCAGCATTTCTGATCAGGGTACAGAGTATGTATTTCCAGACTGCTGCAGATCCATAAAGAACTTCATAGGGCAGAACAGAAATAGAAATCTTGTTTTCCAGTTGTTCTGTTTTTCCATGTCTGTGTTCCCAACTGAGTGCAAAGACTGCTGAAATACATGGATTTGGAAGCTTCTTACGAGCAGCGAGAGCCAGGCTATGCACCCAAGTCCCAACATCTGTTCCAATTTGTAATTGGCTGTGACAGGCTGTGCTGTATGGAGAATGACTGTGATCATAACCAAAATCACTTTTAAATTGCTCATGTAACCGTATGGCTTCTCTGCATGTTGTTTTTCTAGTATTTCAGGTCTTTTTTTAAAACGACCAAGGCATAGTTGAATTAATATGTATCATGGAAGGAAATTAAAGGCTAACTCTAACAGACTCTGCCACATTGAGAACAATTTAAGAAAAATGGGATTTAGCTTTTTTTTCCTAGATGTGAGTTCAGAGACTTATTAAAAGGACATTTTGTGGACAAGATTAAGGAAGCTACATAATTTGAAGGGCCAAGTACAAAATAAAAACACAGGGTCCATGGTTCAAAAGTCAGAAAAAAATATCATTAAAGGTACTAAAATATAAAGTTTTTTTCCTTCCTTCCACAGTTTCTCTCTCCACTTGTTATGGCGCTATTTTATTTGATACTGCAGGTCATTTAAGTCAAGAAAAATTAAGAGTTTAAATTATTAGCCTTTCTTTAAATAACGCAAAGCTAGTTTTAAAGGCAGATATAAGAGCCTTTAGGCTTCCAGGTGGCGTTAGTGGTAAGGAAACTGTCTGCCAATTCAAAAGTCATAAGAGACACAAGTTCAAGCCCTGGGTCAGGAAGGTCCCCTGGAGGAGGGCATGGCAACCCACTCCAATATTCTTGCCTGGAGAATCCCTTGGACAGAGGAGCCTGGCAGGCTACAGTCCATGGGGTCACAATCAGACACGACTGAAGTGACCTAGCATGCACTCATGTGAGAACCTTTAGCTCCTAAGCAGAATCACTGAAGCGACACAGTATGTATTTTGCAGTTCCTATATGCGTGTGTACTTTATTCTTGCCACACTAGTGGGCGTGCACAGAGCTCAACTTTTGATACATGCACATTTTACTAATACTCTCTGCCTTCCACTTACTGCCAGGTGAAGAACTGAGAAGAAGAGGAAGCAGAGGCTTCTCTAGCTTTCCCTTTCCCTCTGTGTTCTAACTTTCATTGTCAGCGGCTGGTTAATACAGGGAAGGAACATGAATAAGTGAGCACATGATAGGATTCTTTGGTCATTTTTGTTTTTTAAAATGTCGTTCCCTTCTTTCTGCACTTGAAGCAAGTTCTGGTTCAGATGGACAGTGTAACCTCACAAGGATGTGAGTGTCCCTTCCACAATCCCTTACTGAGTCATAGATGTAATATGCTAACCTTATTTAGCCTTTGACTCTCAGTGGACTCCCACATGTCATGGGCCCTTTGAATGAATAACTGAGCACATGATAGGATTCTTTGGTCATTTTTGTTTTTTAAAATGTCATTCCCTTCTTTCTGCACTTGAAGCAAGTTCTGGTTCAGATGGACAGTGTAACCTCACAAGGATGTGAGTGTCCCTTCCACAATCCCTTACTGAGTCATAGATGTAATACGCTAACCTTATTTAGCCTTTGACTCTCAGTGGACTCCCACATGTCATGGGCCCTTTGGAATGCTAATGGTCACCTAGAATGCTCTATGTGGATAGAAAGAAGTGCAGACAGGCGTTATTGTTTCTGTCATCCCTGCTCATGCTCCATTATCCCATTGGATGACTTACAAAAGATGAATTCAAAGATAAAAGTATTAAGAATTTCAAGAGAGTGAAAGCAGGATATTAAACCAAGCATGGGACTCTTCTGAGCTTGGTTCCCTATGTGACTGTACATGTTGCCCATGAGGCTGACCCAGCCCCAGTGACCTCATCTACAAACTGGGACGAGAATAGTACTTGTTCAGTTAGCATTGCCATGAGGAGTGATTAAATTATGAATATAACAGCACATAGAAAGTACTCAATACTCAGTAGTTTCTTAATATTCATATTGTGCACCATGGACCATAGCCCACCAGGCTCCTCTGTTCATGGGTCTATCCAGGCAAGAATACTGGAGTAGGTTGCCATGCCCTCCTCCGGGGGATCTTCCTGACCCAGGGATCAAACCCACATCTCTTATGTCTCCTGCATTGGCAGGTGGGTTCTTTACCACTAGTGGGCCTGGGAAGACCACTTATATTGTTGTATGTCACAAATAAAAATCAGGAAATTGTTATTATATTCCTACTAGAAATCTTGACTTAGGTTGAGCTTTCTTTATAGTTCCACTAGGCAAGATATGCTTTCAAACACATGAGACTCTGAAACTATGCTTTATCTGTGAGTGCTCGTTAATCTGTGTTGCAGTCTTTAGGCACCAATGCGATCAGTGAGCAAAGCTCTGAGGTCAGTTCAAGAGGTTATCTGGTTAACCTATTTGCAGTGGTAATTACCGCAGCAGGTTATAGCAAATGGAGCCATGTGAGGTGTCCAGGAAAAAGACAAAGGCTTGAGTTATTGAATGTGATTGAATGCCAGGTTGTCTCTGGCTGAAAATGAGGTCAGCCCTGTAAAGCCTTGGGCAGAGAAGGCCTCTGTTCCAAACACATGGAGAGGAGATATTTGAATGAAAACAAACCAAGATGTGAGCTCTGTCTGAGCAAGTAGGAGTGAACTGTGATTGACGATAGCATCCAGATGAAGTTCAGTGTAGAATGAGTTCCAGGATCCAAAGTTACTGAAGAACTGTTGTAGATAATACCCATCAATCAATCAATTAATCCAATAGAGCTTCTTATAAAATGCTGTTTTCTTAATGCCTGAAGTGTATTGGCTTATGTATACACTGCATAAATCAACCATTCATCTTGGAAACATTAATTTTAAAAATTATTTGATAAATTTTCAGCCCTTGATTGAGTTAGCACTTATTTATTGTCTAAATATCATTTTACTTCAAACCTAAATTTTTAATTTTTTTTACTGTCCACATTTTTCAGTGTTTAAAAAAAATTGTTCAAATGCAGTTGATTCACAATGTTGTGTTTAATTTCTGCTGTATAGCAAAGTGACATACATATACATATATATTCATATATATTCTTTTTCAGTTATACATGTATATTCTTTTTCATATTCTTTTCCATTATGGTTTATCACAGGATATTGAATATAGTTCCCTGTACTATCTGGTAGGACTCTTTTGTTACTGTTCAATACGTTTCAACAAATACACCTGTGTAACCTAAACTTATCAAGATATCAGCCCACAAATTTCCTGCAACAAAACCTAAATATTTTAAAGAGATTCTCTGTTTTCCTTCAGTATACTTATGTGGAAATTACACCAACTTAAATTGTGACTTTGTTTTAAAATTTTTCATGAAAATGATTGGATGTGATAACAGGTTGAAAAATTATGCAAACAGGATAGAAAAAATAGGATATTATGAAGAATATTCAGATACCCAGGAAATGAGCAGTTTCAGATCCCTCAACAGTTGAGACTCATGTGTCCTGTGCAAGTATGATTTTCCTTCTCTGATTTTGAAGCACCATTCTAATCTTCTGTGAGGAGTAGGATTACAGATGAGACATGATCTTATTTAAAAAAAAAAAGTTATTTGCAGAGAAAAGGACTATTGAAAATGTGCAATGAAATCTGTGTCCCTAGCATGATTCTTTTAAGACTTCTCCCCCATTCCTGTCCATGAGCTTTTGAAAATCTGGATTTAATCTTCACTTTAAAAACTTAATGGCCTGAACCATCACAGGAAGTACGAACTTTCCGAATGCCTGAGCGCTCTGACCCGCCGGTTCTGTGGTTACAGTGACTAAGGCCGGGGAACATTGAGTCAGGAATGGGTGTGCGGTCATGAAGGCTGCTTGTTCACAAAGAATCTTACTGATAAATAATGTTACCATTTCCAGATGCCGAGCCTAAATATCTGATCGTCGTACGGCCCGCTCCTCCCCCCAGTCAAAAGAAGTCATGCTCAGGTATTTTTGTTGATTCATTATTATTGTTAACTTTAAACCATGCCTTTTCATCTCTTTTCCACCCATGGAGACCACGCGCCTTGGGGATGCCTCAGGAAGGTAGGTTAGAATATGTAAGATGCCCAACAGTCCCCTGAAAACAGGTAACCCTGCTTGGGAAGTAGTGTAGCCTGGTTGGGAGAAGCTCCTTGGGCCTTATCCGCCCCACCACATACAAACAGCAGGGGGTTGAGGCAAATTATTGAACCTCTCTAGCCTCTGTCCTGCTGCATGGAGGGATCTGGGCGAGGATGAGATGAGTTCCCGGCTACAGAAGACAGACTTGGCCCAGAGTAAGCGCTTATTTAGAGTTTAGCTCCTGTTGGCTCCCTCTATGTTGCAATGTGTGAACTAAAGCCTGCTCTTGTGTCTTTCAGTTTTTAGGGCAAAATGTGAGATCTAAACTTTGCTGAAGGAAACTTGACATTTCAAAAGCATAACTCGTTTACATGTGTGTTAAATGAGTTTGGACTTGGATTTTATTTATGCCTCCAAACCACTTGTATTTAGTCAGACACAGAAAACAAGACTTCTTTCATAAAACAGCAGTGTGACACCCATCTTCCCAGGGCTAGGGAGATGTAAAACAGGCAACTAGATACCATGTGTATAAAAAAGCTGAAATATTTCTATGACTAAGGAAGACGTTGCCCCAGTTTCACTGCTAAAATTTCTTCTCAGATCAAATAGCACGCCCTTGCTATTAGGAAGGACTAATAAAGCTGTGACTATGCTTTTAATAAATAACCTTTTATCTTAGGTCACATCTTCCTAGTCTGTAGACAGAGTTGATCATGGTGCTTTTCTTTTTCATGTTCTAATGTGAACTGTTCTCAGAATAATTATTCCCTAATCATATTTGCCTTTTACAGTACATGGGATGCCACACAGAAAGAAGGAACTTTCTCAAAGGGATAAGACGTGTTGGGGGAAGGTGCAGATACTGAGCAAATGGGCCCTTGGCAGCTATGTATTCTGTATCCTCAGTCGATCAGCCATGCCTGGTCACCAAAAACTGGTTGCTGCAATCCTCTCCCCTTGAGGCTTCTGTTGGTTTCCTCTTTTTTTTTTTTTTTTAAGAGAAGCGATAAATGGTTAATTATTTTGAGAACTACAGATCCTTTTACTTGACCTCTTATAATATCCCAAAGCACAAGGGAGATTTCAATCAGTACTTAAAACTTACTAGTGATCATTGTCCAAGAAGCTTTCCATACACTTGCAAAGAAAAGTACTCCAGTATTTGAGGACTCTATTTCAAAATATTTAACAATAAAGCCGGGAAGCATGAGTGTGGTTCTATGGGATTCTGGCTTCATAGTTACTGAAACTTTTCTGAATATGGTCATAAAACAAATATGCAAAAATAAGTAAGAAAAGTCAAGAGAGTGATTATACCTTAATAGCAGTTTATAACTTCATTTGTGGGCTCCTTAGATTATTTTTCACTATGTGATGACCAACTCAGGAAATAGTTTCATCCTGATCAGGCTATAATACCCCACCTTTCCTTTCAGGCAATGGATATAATTTTTGTTTTTGTAATCTTCATTGAAGAGCGATGTAATGAGTAACGGATTAGCTTCCATTCATTTTATATTTGTATCTGCCACATAATTTAAAAATGATTAAATAATTAAAATTGAAGATCCAAACAAGTGAACTTAGTCATATAAACTTTAAATTCCTTAAGGAAGGAAACATGTAGTTTTTCTAAATGGCATTCCCATCATACATTGTGAGATAAACTAGTGATGTAATAAAAAGAAAACTAGAAAACTATATTACGATTCAGGAGACCTGGATTTGAGTCTTAACCGTGCTCTCATTGTGACCTTGGACAACCTTGAAATTACTCCAGGCCTTATTTTTCATCTATAAAATGAGACAATTATATGAGTGAAAATCAACTCAGGGATAGAAAAGACAGCTTATCAGAATCACATTATCTCTGATTCTAACCTGCCCTCTTTGGGGGCCAGACCTGAACCCTTTGAATCATAGTCAGATAAGGTACTATTACAGGTAAACTGGAAAGACTTATAGAGAAGTATAATTGCATGTTTGCAACCAACTAAATAATAAACATCCTTGAAAATTATTTAAGCTATCTTTTAAAAAATGCATCTATGTCACAGTGAAGTAACTGACCACAACTAGATCATGTATATTCTGGTCTTAGAGGGCTTTTCTGCCAGAATAACCATGAATACAACTCAAACCTAACAGAAGTAACAGGCACTCCTCCTTTTCACTGTCCTCCTGTTCCTAAAGTTTCAAATATTTTTGAAAAAGCACATATATGCCCCTCACATATACTTGAAAAGAATTTAGAGTGGTTTATCAGAATCACACTTGGCATTGCCCAAATCCAATTAGTCTTGTCAGAATAACTGCTTCCTATATTATTCCTATTCTTCCAGCAATATTAAGAATATGTGCACCTTTTCTATTTCAATACTTACTTTAAAAAAAAGAAAAGAGAGAGAGAGAGAGACAGTTCATTGAAATGCTCTGAGAAGAGATTTTACACTTCCAAATAGTTAAAAAAAAAAAAAGTATATAGCCATCAACCTAGATGGTAACTTTTCTTAGATGTTTCTAAGAGTGAAACTAATTCACAGTTTCAGGGAAAAAAATAAGCATACATTTTATCTTGTCTGTAAAAGAAAAATAAATGTACATATACCTGTATGTGTATTTGTGTGTGTTTATTTCACTGGTAATAGCCAAGACCTCCATGTTCATCCTTGGCCCACAAGAAAATAAAAACTAGAAATGGATATAGTTTATATGCATAGACACATACATGTAAATCTCAAGAGGGTATTTCATTTGATTCTTGCTTAAATTCATGGGCAAAGCATTATTAATATTTGTGCAGTATATAAAAAGAAAAGGAACTTAATGCTTTCACATTCTTCATCATCTTACTAGATTGTCTTTGTATATTTTACCCAAATCATGAAAATATGCTAAATGCTACAAGAATTAACCTGTCTGTTCCCTTTGTAGGTAAAAAACGATCTCGCAAACCTCTCCAGCTGGTGGTTGGCACTCTGTCACCAAGCTCAGTCTTCCTGTCCTGGGGCTTCCTCATTAACCCTCACCATGATTGGACATTGCCTAGTCAGTGTCCCAATGACAGGTAATTCACCATTTTGGAAAATTTTATTTTTCATCTGAAAAGGACGTGTAAATGTCAGGGGCATCAGTATCTGCAGATCAGCTCTTTGCTGGAGAGTTTGTTCTAGGTTTGAGGAGAATGAAGACACACTCATCAATGCCCATACCCTTCAGGAATTACCATCTACCTGAACAGAAAACACATACACATATTTTTTTCTTTCCAAAGAAAAAAACAGAAGGAAAAATAAGCCAAATAGTAAGTGGGGTTATCAGTAATAAGTGTAATAAAAGCTCAGAGGATAAGGTTGAAAGCAATTAGAAGAGACTGTTAAAAGCTGCAACATTTGATCCTTGGTTTGAAAAAGATGGTTCTTTGGTCTGCCAATTGATAAAGTGCTAAAAACACTGGTTCTCTCACTTTGGTCCCTTAACCAAGCAGCATCAGCACCAGCATCATTTGGGAACTTATCAAAAATGAAAATTCTCAGATCTCCAGACTTACTGAATCAGAAACTTCAAGGGTGGGGCAAGTAATTTGTGTTTTAACAAGCCCTCCAGTAGATTCTGGTCCCCACCTAAGTTTAGAGATCACTGGCTTAGAAAATTGGGGAGAGGGACACATGGAGAAATGTAGGTCAAGGAAAAGCACCTTTGGAAATGAAGCCACCATCTTCTTTGGGAGAACAAAATAAGAAAAACCCAAGTTTATTTTTAAATCACTGCCATTTATTCATTCAACACATAGAGTTGGCATTGTCTATGTATTGGGCACTGTACTAAATGCTGAACCATGATTCTAAATTGGGTATAAGGTGATATTTGCTTGTCATAAATATTCACTACAGTAGCTTCAAAATTCAAAATTTTGCATCTGACAATCAAAATTTTCAAGCTTCAACCAAAAGGAACATTTATTTTAAAATGTATTTTATTTTAAATACTCAAAGTGACTTTAAGATTTTTAAAATTTGTTTCATCCCTTCTTTAAAATAAAAGATTTCATTATGAAAATATAATTTAAACCCAGTAAAATGCACAGATCTTACATGTACAGTTTAGTCAGTTACAGAAAAAGTATGTAACCATGTACTGTACAATCCATTAAAAAATGTTCTTTCATCACCCTAGAAAGTATTAGAGAGTTGATCTGCTCTAAAATTCCATGTAAACAAAATCATAAGTTCTTCTCTTTCTGTGTATATCTTATTTATTCAGCATGTTTTTTGAAATTCATTCATGATATTGTAAGTTCATGAATAGTTCATTCCTTTTTTATTTCTGAGTATTATTCCATGATGTGAGTATTTCAGAATTTTTTGATCCATCTTTCTTGCCGGTAGACATCTGAATTGTGTCTTGTTTTTTGTTATTTTGAAGATAAATTTTATAAACATTTTTGTATAAGATTCTTGTAGACATACCTTTTAATTTATCTTAGATAAATATCTCTGAAGAAGGAAGTGGCAACCCACTCCAGGATGCTTGCCTGGAGAATCCCATGGACAGAGGAGGCTGGTGGGCTACAACCCAGGGGGTCACCAAGAGTCGGACACTACTAAGTGACTAACATTACACTACTAACACTAGATAAATACCTAAAAGTAGAATTGCTATGTCACAGGGAAGATGTATATTTTGGGGGGCCTAATTTTCCTTTTAAATTCCCACAGGCAATGTATGAGAGTTCTGGTTGCTCCATATCCTCACCAGCATTTCATGTCATCAGCATTTTTCAATTTAGGTATCCTAGTGTAGTTATATCTCATTATTATTTTAATATGTATTTTTCCCTTGTACTAAATATATTGAAAACTTTTTAATATACTCTTTGGCCAAATGTCTATTTTTTGTATTGCTTTACTTCTTTTTATTTGTCTAAATTGGACAGAGAATAAAGAGTTTTAAAATGTTTTAAGTTCTCAAAACTACCATTCATATGACTTTGATTAGGAAATCTAAACTAAGAAAGAAAGAAATTTTCTTTCACATGCCCATAGTTCTGAAGGAAGAAGTTCTTTGAAAAAAGCATGTAGAAGATGATGCCAAAGCTAAAGTTTTTTAAAAATAATTTTGAACTCTTTCGAAGAATCTGAAATATTCCTTATTTTACCCACTGCTAAACCTGAAACTTAACTTTATTTGGAAATGGACTCCTAAAAGAATTTACTTTCTTGAGGTAACTTTGCTAATGAGTTGGTACAGGGTGCTAATGCTGAGAAAACAAACATCTGTGGGTCAGTTTCTTTTTCCTTTTCCTTTTTTTAGTCTCTTGTTAAGAAAGAAGGAAAAATAAGAAGGGAGGGGAGGATTGGGCAAGAAGAAAGGAAGCGGGAAGCAAGATTTGATACTCTTGTAACAAAACATAGCTGATTTTAATGGCTACTCAACTTGCTTGATAAATCCATAAGGTTCAGTAAATTGCCAATTCCTAGAACAGGATTTGATGTGATTTCCTCCTGTCCTCAAGCCTCATTGTCTTCAATTTCACTTGGCTCTCCTGACCCCTCCACAAAACAACTTATCTGATGATTGATTCTAATTGACACATGTTGTCATGGTATGACAGCAAAAGTTGATAATAAATATGGAGAAGACAGAGGAACAGATACCCGATGGAGCTAGAAGTTTTATCCAAAGTAGTTGACTTGAAGGGTCCAAGCTATTGAGACCACATGTGCACCTCACCCTCTCACTTCCTCATCCAGGCACCGTGGCTCTGGTCTTCTCATCAAATAGGTAGAGTCATGCCCGTCAAATCACAATATTTAAAATAAATAATTCTGCCTAGAATGAAGTTTTATAAAAGATTCAGTAATGACATGTCAAGATGTTTGCTAGCTTTCAAACCTGAGTGGGAGGATCGCAGTATCCTTGACAGAAATAGGAAATTGTTAGGACGTGACTAAGAATTAAGAGCAAAGAATTAAATCTAATGACAAAAAGAAGCATTGGGAGTACTTGTGAATTTTATTTACCCATGCCTCCTTTCTCCCTAGTTAGAACAGTTAATAAAGAGTTGACATTTTAAAGTCTTTGTAACTATTTGAGAAAAAATAATAGTCCTTATTTAAAAGCTCTGAAATTACAATACATATTATAAACACCCAAATAAATCCACCAGAACAACTCAGTTAGCATAATTAGAAGCAGATTTGGAGAAATCCACCCTCATATGATTATATGATTATGTAGATTCTTTTTTTTTTTTTTAGACTTTAGACTAATCCAGTAGGTTAAAATAAGCAATAATAGCTATAGGGAATGATTCCTTCTTGAAAATCAGATTAAGACAGGTCAAGTTTTCCTTCAAGAGTGTATTTTGACAAAGTCGTTGGAACCTGAATTCCCTCAGCTTGCTATAGGAACATCAACTGGTGTCATTTTAATCCACTAACTCTAATATTTGGCATCATGTGTAAAGTTTCTGAGTTTTTAGAAACAATCATTTCACACTGATTTGTGTCACTTCATTTATCCTATGCAAGGGCAAATAATTTGTTGGAAAAATTTTTTTATTATACTTTGATTTTTGACTTTACATATCAAAGCTCTATTATGGTGAGTTTCCAATGAGAAAATCCCTGTTTTTTTGTTTTATTTGTTTTAAGCTTGGAAATATTAATGCAATGTCACTTTATTCTTGGTAGTATGTTTCCACTCCTATTCCCATAGGGTCCATGTAGGGCTCCCATATTTTTAGAGCCTTTTCTGAGTTCACATTCATTGGAGAGTAGATATGCTTAATTTACATGTTTTATTCTTCATGGGCTTTGAAAGGAAGAATGCACACATTTGTCCTTAATATATCTGAGGTCAAAAGAAAGCTTTCCAATTGGCCCAGATGAGAAGTTAAAACCACAATTTATTTCACCATGAATAGCATATTCTTTCCTTCCCATGTTTCCAGCTTGTTAAAGTGTTTAAGATTGCCTTAGTTCTCACTCCTTTGCCAATTTGTTAAGCTTTATGATTTGTTTAGAAATCATTTTCACATTTTCTAACGCTTTCATGTTGTACTTTCTTGCTCTGAATGTAGAATGAGGGTCCTCCTTGTTGGCTGGTTCAGAGCTTACTCTTGCCTCTTTTTTCTTTATCCCAAGTTGTTAAGTGAATATTTTTGAGGTCTAAGAATTCTCACTTGATTGAGCCCTGTGCCTCATTTCCCATTTATCTTGCCATGTAAATTTTAAGCTCAGTGAGGACTGGGACCATAGGTATCAAAAATATCATTGTTTTCCCAGCACCCAAGCCAGCCTCGGGTACATATTAGGCCTTCAGTAAATATACACTGAATGAATAAATAGTGAAATCTCAGCATTTTCACTTCTATGTCTTATTATTACTTCAAACATAGGACAAAATTGAATTCGTACTTTTCTCATGAAATATCAATTCCCTTGTCTTTTTATTTTCTGAAGTATCATAATTTTTTTTACTCTCCCTAATATGACACGTCACAAATTTAAAAATTCTTCATTTCCTATAGGTATTGAGGCTCTGAGTTACACTGGTTTTGCCTTTGAGAATTATCCACATTAGTATCTTTATCTTCTACTTTTCCATTTCTATTTCCATGTCAACAATTTCAGTCTAGGCACCTTACCCTGAATCCTGGAAATAGCATCTTGGCCACTGGCTCTGACTCTTTTCATGTCCCAGTCCATCCTGGTTTCTGTAATACTGAAGAAAATTTAGGCAGTCTGCCATTGGCTCACTTTTTCTTCATCCTAGATTTAGCTTTACATCTCTTCTGTTTTTACCAAGGAGCAAGTTTCTGCCTTCAGACAGTGCTCATCGTTCTGTTCCTTCCATATTCTTTGCTCGTCTGCATTTTCCTCTTCACTGACATTTGTGCCCTGCCTCTTGCTTACAAACATGCTCAAGATTTCCCTACCCCCAAACCACATATTTTCTGTTGACCCTGTTATAGCTTCCAGGCTACTTTTCATTCTCTCTTCCTAATTCCAGAATTTCTCAGACTAATGTGCTCTCATATTCTTGATTTCTTGACCACATTCA